GGCCAAGGTCAACGGAGGTGGGCTCACCGGGCCAGCGGCGAAGTTTACCGGGGTCGAGGTGGCGATCGGCGCGGAACTCGTCGACATCACCGTGCTGCTCGTGCTGATCGCAGGGTCTGTCGGGCTCACTGCTGGCCACGTTTCAAGGTCGTCGACGGGGAATTGTGCAGCAACCACGGTCACGGGGGTTACGGAGACAGAGAGAGAGATAGAAAGGGACAGAGTGAAACAGACAAGCTGGATGAGGACGCATGACACGCCAGCTCTGCAACGTTGCTTCACGTATCAACCCTTCACAACTTGCATTTTTACATGAAATCCTTTTTACAAGATATACACACAAATGCAAAAGAAATTCTGTACAATAGTTTGTTAACTGAGAGTCCTAAATTAGTTGTTACACTAAGTACAACTTTCTCATAGAAGATCTTGTGCATGTATTACAATTTACCTATCTCTCACAACCGCATCAAGATACAAACAAAAATATAAATCAAATTATAAATGTTAACATGAAAATTTCTGAACGTGTCACAAGTATGAATATAACCCGAAAAGTTTTGAAGCAACGTTATAGGGCTGGCAAGAAATAAATTAACACCTAAGAGTAGAGCAACGGGTGACAATGATCAAGACCGATTTACTGACAACGATGGAACCGTCGTGTCTCTAGACACCTCTTTAAATTATCGATATACCTATTCCGTTGTCTGATCGTACTAGCAATCAATTTACACCGAAGTTACTCAAATTCTTTTTTTTTCGAGATATAGTAGATTTTCACAGAAGATAATAAATGGACAGTAGGAAAGTATACTGATCTTATGAGACTCACCAGCCTTCGTGGGTGACGTAGCATGCATTGTCGAAGTTCCGGTTGTCGGCACCGCTAAACCACCATACAACACCATGTACCATTACCATATTCACCAAGTGACTCTCGATCGGACAGAGAAACTTTCAACCGCATTTTATTCATTCCGAACGCCATACGCATAGTGATGGATAAAAAAATCGAGAGCTTTTTTGTCGATAGCAAAGTCTCTCTGTCCAGTCACGGCTCGAGGATGTCCCGAAATAAAACAGGGATTCGAGCAAGGGACGTTCGAGACAAACAGAGGGATTCAATGGTCGGAATGCACGCATTCGACTGACATTCACGATAGAAAGCTGTATACGTACGGTCTTTGAATCCATCGACAGAATCGAACGGATTTCGAGAGGCGTTCGAACGATTATTGACAGGTGTACGGCTCACGTCTGAATCCGATTATACGTTTTGCTTTCATTGCTTTCTAGTCTATCATTGCTGATTTATAGTTGGATTCGTGAATAGATTACCGTTTAACCCTTATCCGGTAAAGGTGAGGTCGTTAAGAGTGGAGTGCTTCGACTCATCTTTGGATTATGAGGGTCACATCTTTATAATGGGTTAATGGACATTTGATGGTTCTATGAACTAGAGTTCTAAAGCCCCAAATTTCTGAGAGATCAAATTTATATAATATTCCAAGGTCCCAAGCTATGAAATTTTAAGCTTGCAAATTTCTAAATCTTCAAATTCCTGCATACCAAATTTCCAAATTCCCAAGGTCCTAAGCTACCAAATCCTTAATCTTCCAAATTCCTAAATCTCCAAGTTCCCAAGCTACCAAATCCTCAATCTTCCAAATTTCCAAATCCCCAAGTTCCCACGCTACCAATCCTCAATCTTCCAAATTTCTAAATTCCCAAATTTCCAAATCCCCAAGTTCCAAGTTTCCAAATCCTCAATCTTCCAAATTCCTAAATCCCCAAGTTCCCAAGCTACCAAATCCTCAATCTTCCAAATTTCTAAATTCCCAAATTTCCAAATCCCCAAGTTCCAAGCTTCCAAATTCTCAAGTCCCCAAGTTCCCAAGCTACCAAATCCTCAATCTTCCAAATTCCTAAATATTGACAGGTGTACGGCTCACGTCTGAATCCGATTATACGTTTTGCTTTCATTGCTTTCTAGTCTATCATTGCTGATTTATAGTTGGATTCGTGAATAGATTACCGTTTAACCCTTATCCGGTAAAGGTGAGGTCGTTAAGAGTGGAGTGCTTCGACTCATCTTTGGATTATGAGGGTCACATCTTTATAATGGGTTAATGGACATTTGATGGTTCTATGAACTAGAGTTCTAAAGCCCCAAATTTCTGAGAGATCAAATTTATATAATATTCCAAGGTCCCAAGCTATGAAATTTTAAGCTTGCAAATTTCTAAATCTTCAAATTCCTGCATACCAAATTTCCAAATTCCCAAGGTCCTAAGCTACCAAATCCTTAATCTTCCAAATTCCTCAAGTCCCCAAGTTCCAAGCTACCAAATCCTCAATCTTCCAAATTCCCAAATCCCCAAGTTCCCAAGCTACCAAATCCTCAATCTTCCAAATTCCCAAATCCCCAAATTGCCACCCCCCAACTTCCCAAATTCCCAAGTTCCAAACCTCCCAAATCTCCAAACTCCCAAATTCCCAAAACTCTGCTCCTCCACCCACATCCAATCAAACCATCCAGATAAGGGTTAATTTAGCTCCCCACTCGTCCCAAAGGACTCCCCCACACAGTGCAAAATTTTAACTCAAAAAGTCCAATTACCAAATAAAACTGAATCGAACACCTCAGTAATACTTCTTCAGAGTCTAATTCGATTCAGTTGAACGGCACGTTTCATGGGCTATAAGAGACGGACAAGATAGCGGATCCACTTATTGACACGGAACACGTCATTCGCACGTGAAAGCACGCCCGTCTGATTTTCGTAAAAGCGACAAGGTATACCTTGGTTATGGGAGATGCTCGCTGGCATAGAGGATGATTCAGAATGGATTCTTGGTATCGCGATGGATCGGGATCATGGTGAATGTTTTGGCAGCAGGAAACGTGGGAATGCCGCATCTAACTTTACTGCACTGATCGCTGTGCCTGGCTACACACGTGAAATTCAGCGCAAAGCCAATAATAGTATCGTGGAAAATTTGTCGTTCGTCATTTACACCGATTTTCGGAACGTTAAGGATTCTTTTATTTGTTATTCATTTTTAATGATCACAAAGGTAGGTAAGAGTGGTCTGTGGTCACAAGGGATTGCATAGGTGGATCACGTTCATGTGTGATCACAAGGGAGGAGTGCATACGTGGATCACAATTCATATGTGATCATAAATGTATGAAGACACAAAGAAACATAGTGAAACGAATGATCAACTATTCTTTCTTCCGTCTTCGTTATCTTGTTATGTACTGATCATTCATTTTTGAGTCTACGAGAATATCTGATAATTTTGATTCATTTTCTTTGACCCACATATGTGGACACATGTGTGTAAGACTTGAACGAAATATTGTGGAAGACACAATTATATATTGACCAACTTTGTTGATTCCTGTATCATATACATAGAATTCTGTGATTCTATGAGAACCAAAAGCTACTTCTATTTTGTGATCTCAAGTGTATGACGATAGGAAGACATGTTCTGTAGGAAACATTGATTGATTCAATTAGTTGACCTGTTTCTCATATTTGACTTTATGAAGACACACAATAATTTATACTGAACTTCTCCTTTGCGATCATTCATAAAGAAACCATCATTTCATTCACATTTCATGTGACTCTCCTACAAAAATCATAAAATCTTCATCTTCTCAAATGAAGAAATAAACTAAACCGCATAAAGAATATCAATAAACGTTTGTTCCGAAAATCGGTGAATCGCAGGTCACGTGAGACCGCCTGAAGCGAACGTATCCAGTAACAGAGATTCGAACAGTGTTCGATAAATAAAAACATCGAGACTCACCGGTTGAATCGAAGTCTCCATCCAGAGGCCTAAGTGGCCTGGTTATGCTTTTCCTCTTCGACGGGGAATGTTTCAACGCTGAAACACAAATCGACCAAGTGTTAGACGTATCTCTCGTGTTCAGTACCGGAACACCAAGGGGGTTAAACATCGATATACTCATGGAAATCGGAACGATTAATTGGAAAAGTCTGAGATCAATGCCTATCGAGGGATATCAAAGTTAACGCTACAGAAGCTGACGTCAGTACCGTAGCAAGTGGTTAGATTATGCGTGAAACGTTCGCTTGTTTTCATCAAGTTTTTAACGTGCTACGTTAAACACTGCGTACGTTCTATTTTTATATGGTATTTATTGCAATTATATAGGAGATTTTTCAGAGACGAACCTTTTGAATACTTCTTCTTAAAAATATTATAATTCAAACTATGATTAATTTTAATTCCGTTGCAATATATTCGAGACTGTCACGGTTTTCTTCCTTTTTCAGGTAATTTAATTTGACCTCCTTACCAGACCACCCAGCAAATTTGAGATATTGCGAGTCAAGTTAGAAGGTCGCATGCATCGAACGAGCCATGTACGGCCGAGCGAATTTCCATCAAAATCCAATTATCTGCTTATGGTTAACAATTTTGTCCAAACGTGCCTTTCGACTGTAAGGACACCTACAGATTTCGAGCAGATCTGATTAATCGTACTCGCTAACCGTATAAAGTTATATCTTTGAAATTAAAATCGAAATTTCTCCTGAATTCGAAACCGTAAACAAGATATTCCATTTCATACTTTCCCCGAGAAATCTCCTACGAATGCTTGCTACAGCACTACATGTCACGACTAGATCTAACCCTCCATCGTTTTGGAGCTACGCTTCTTTGATTTCTCTACTGTATCAAAAGGAGTACTGTGAACTGTAACTACTTCACCTCACGATCTAATCTCGATCGCTTAACGTATCTTAATTTTATTATTCCACGTTGACTGCCACCGTTCACTAATACTTTAGCTGTTAAAGTATTTAACTTTCAAATTAAAGGTTTGCTTTTAACACTAAAACTACCAAACGACCGCTCCACAAGTTTCTTATTATAAGTAACACATTTTTTAAAAATATATTTCTTGAAATCAGAATTGATTTTCATCAAGATAAAGAATAAGTGTATGTACTAATTTATATTTCGTCGTTTGTTTATTAATTTTTAACTTCATTTTTAATTTCAAATTAAGTATATGCCGGTAGGTTTAGTGTTAAACGGATAGAAATTATTTTGAATAAATAAAATTAACAGCAAAGGAAAAATTGTTACAGAAAACAGTAAAGTACCATTCCTGTGATACCTGCTTAAAATTTCTTGTTTCTGTCAAATGAGACAGAAGAGGATGAGAGACAGTCAACGGGTGAGAAGTATAAATCAAGCCGACAACACCGAAAGCTTCTATGCTCCTCGCGCATAGGTCAGATCGAGCGAGAGAGTCGTCGTCTAAATCGAGTTATACGATCGTGTGTGTCATATCTGTGATACGCTACTTTTCAATGTATGTACATGCCTCGGGTTAAATATGTATCATACAATTGAATTACGTACGTATAAATGGACATCAAAGACCTCGGTCTTTGATACGAAAATTCACTTGCTTCGTGCAGCTGTTTTTCTTTCTTACAAGTTTCTATATACTAATTCGCCGCTGTTCAGGTCTGATTAGAAACAACGAGGTTAACGAACCGTGTCTCGAGATTGCAAATCTGTGAAAAATATTCTGTCACTAGGCAGGGAAAACGAACAGAGTTAAACCGTGTAACGAAGTTGTGACATGGAGGGTTTAACCCTTCGAACTAGCTGCTGCTTTTATAGTTTTCTTAAACTCTTTTAAATGATATTTATTTGTACTTGTTGGTTTATGAGACTTGAAATGGGTCACTGTAAAATTTTATGTGCTGAAGAATTCCAATAGTAGAAAATTTTGAATATTCATTTTCAAAAATGAAGATTTTCATTTTCAATATTGAAGATTTCTGAAGATGAAGAATTTGAAATTCCAACAATTTTCAGTACTAGAAAATCTGAAATATCTCCCACATTAAACTTGAAAAATAAATTTCTAAAATTTGAAAAATTGAAATAACAAAATTTGAAGTACCAAAAACTTGCAATCTAAGAAAAATGAAAAAAAAGTTATCTACCCTTAATCGTAACTCTTCGAAATTCCCATAATTGTAACCAGTGTAACCCAAGAAAAAATTGCAATTTGAATAAAATGCAACCCTGTCGTTTTCCTGTTTTTCACAGAGTGCAACCGTGGGGTGTGGTTGTCCACCGGGCTGAAAAATCAATCGAGGCTAAAAAATGTGGAGAAAAAACATGGTGGCTATTTTTATATTCTAGACAAAAATATTCCCAGGCGAAAAAAATTCGGTCGCGATTGTATATCGGTTCCTCGGGCGCTTCTCGAGAGAAGGCTGACCTAGATTCACGCAAAATATACAAAATAAGAAAAAAAAGAACGAGGGTCATCGATTAAAGTAGGTGTACTTGAAAAATCGTGAACGTGTCGAAGTTTAAGAGGAGACAGAGACAAGTGTGAACGTGTGAAAATGATTGAACGAAAGAAGAGAATTTGAACCAGGCATACGGACAAGACATTGCAGAAGCGAACATTGGAAAAGATTTCTATTTTCTTTTTTTTTTTCGCTGATTCGTTACAGTTTCACGCTTTTATATTTTTGCCGGTCATACTAGAGATTTGTCACGAGAAAGTACATAAACTGTGTACCAAAAAATAAAGCATCTAAAATTATTATTTGAAGTTACAGCAGAAAAGCTGAAGGTAATTTTGGTGTATAATTAATCTTTCTGGTGATTCAAAGTTTAAGTTTATTCTCGACGTCGAATTTTTAGTTTATTTTTCCAGCGCAAATAGTCCAGCAAAAATATTCGCGTTAAATATAAGAAACGGAAATGCAAACATCTAGAGTTACATTCTGAAACGTACTCGTATTTAGAAAGTTCAAATAGAAAAGATGGAAAAAGATAATCAAAGAAGCGTTGCGAGATGAAACAATCGGATGCAAATATTTTATTCTAGTTTTCTTATCTGAAAGAAACGCAAAGTTCAAACTTATTAAACGAAAGAAATGAAAATGGAATCAAACAAAAACACAAGAAGAGGAATAGAACTATGACACGTTTCAATGTCAGCATCCAGGGAAAAGAAATCAGAGGAAGCTTAATTTGCAATCTTTCCTACTTACTTTTTCATGAATTATTTCACATCTAGAGTAATTACTATGTAAAGAAGAAAAAGATTCGTTTCACATGCCACATGATGTATATACATTTTTAACAAAAACAGCAAAAGATTATAATTATGAAAAAAGAAAATTCATCTGAATAAAAAAAATGAAGGTAAACAGTCATTCTTAATCCTCATACTAAAAAGATAATTATAGACTATAAAAATAAACTAACTAAAAAAATGATTTGTTACGTGAAATTTCAGATTTGCATAAAAATATTAACAGCTTATAAAGGTGCTAAAAACTTGAAACTTCATATAACTGACAAAAAAAGAGTCAAGGTCTACTACAAAAATTACAACCGTATAAAAAGTTCGCACTAAAAAAATCCGAATCGAAACTAAACCCGTTTGAAATGGAAGTTAAACGTTCAATCACAAGAATATCGAACCGTAACATCACAAAAGAATAAAAATGTATCATAACAGCAAGGTGAAAAAAATGGAGTTAGTGTAGTTAGCAGAGTGTTAGGAAATCGGAGGATCAGCAAACCAGGACGATACAAGAAAGTGTAAAAAAGTAGTACATAACGGTTACAAGCAGATGGTGTTATTAAAAAGAATGAAAATAAAGAAACAAACGTACATACAATCATACAAAATGGACAGACAGACGGACGAACAGACAAAGTTACCTATGTAGCTGGTGACGAGGTTACGGAATTTGCGATGATTCCCCTTAATCTCAGGCAGGTCCACTTTTGGTATTCGATTTTCGAGTTTTCGATCGGTAGCAGGTCAGATCAGGTCATTTGGGGTTGACACGGAAAGAAGTGCACGGGACACAAAAACATCAACATTTAGCTAACTTCGTACTTCAACATCTCTCGGTATATGTACCGGATACTTAATTAAAACGATCGGTTTCGATCAGAGGGACTGCCGAGAATAAATAGCAACACAAAGAAAAGCGGGGTGTACGTTCTTGCCTTTTATTTTTGATTCTTGGATAGAGAAGCGGTAACCCTTAAATGACAGAACTGATACATTTCGTACATTAACTTTCATTTATAAAATTTGAAGCGTGTCTTTCAGTTGCTGCCATTCGAGGGTTGAAAAAGTGAAAAACATGTACTTATTATTATCAAGTACCATCTTCATAAGATCCTATTAAAAATTGATTTTAAAACGACAGTTTTACGGGGTATTAATCGCGATTATTCGAACGTTTGTTTTGAAGTTCTTTCATTCTTCCTTTAATCCGCTGACCTGGATACTATAAAACATTCGAACTCGTTAGTCTCGCCAACGTTCACAGAATAATAATACATTTTTTCCACGACTGCGGCTTATCGTAACCGAATCAAATTTTAATTCGACTTTGATCGAGTTTGAAACTCCTAACTGGTCGACACGCATCGAGGCGAATCTTAATGAAATACCAAATGAAATAACAGCGTTTTTCTCTCGTTCGAATAATCCAGATTCCACTCTACCATATTCTGAAATACAAAAGTTTCACCGAAAGTAAAACATCGGTTTCGATGGAAACAAACTACGGTAACGTAATGTTTTAAGAGTTTCGGTTTGGAGAAGAAGGCCAATCGACAGATCGTCTCGATGATCTTTGGGATCGATCAGAGAATCAATTTTGGTCTGGTGGTCGCAACGCAGAAGTACTCGCGATAGAGGCGGAGAAATGCCGATAATTGATGATTTGATGTGCAATTGTTGGTTGTTATTGATTTAGATATTTGGGAGTTTGAGAGGTTGGTCTTTTGGAGATTTGAGGATTTGAGGGATTGAGGGTTTGGAAAATGGGGGATGTGAGAAGTGGGAATTCGAGAAAGTAGGATTTGGGAAATTAGGGTATGTGAAAAGTTGGGGATTTGGAAATTACGAGATGTGAGAAATTGGGGATTTGAGAGGTCGGTCATTTGGAGATTTGGGGATTTGCGAGATTGGAGGTTTGGAAATTAGGGGATGTGAGAAGTTGATCATTTGGAGATTTGGGGATTTGCGAGATTGAAGGTTTGGAAATTGGGGTATGTGAGAAGTTGGGCATTTGGAAATTAAGGGATGTGAGAAATTGGGGATTTGAGAGGTTGGTCATTTGGAGATTTGAGCTTTGAAAATGGGGGGATGTGAGAAGTTGGTCATTTAGAGATTTGAGGATTTGCAAGATTAAGGGTTTGAAAATTGGGGGATGTGAAAAGTTAGGGATTTGAGTGGTTGGTTATTTGAAGATGTGGGGATTTGCGAGATTGAGGGTTTGAAAATTGGGGGATGTGAGAAGTTGGAATTTGAGGAGGTTGGAATTTGGAAATTAGGGTATGTGAGAAGTTGGGGATTTAGAAATTAAGGAAAGTAAGAAGTTGGGACTTAAGAAAGCAAGAGTTTGGAAATTAAGTTATGTAAGAAGATAGGATTGGGAAGTTGGAGTATCTGAGAAGTTCGGCATTTAAGAACTAGAAGATGTAAAAAGTTGAGGATTTGAGAAGGTAGAAATTTGGCAAAGGGATTCAAGATAGGATCAAAGAATTTGTGCAATGGATACACTATGCACCACGTGACCATATGCTTGATACAACATGGCTGCACGAGATGACATACTCTCCCCTCTAGCATTCTCCTAATGTACACTACCCCCAAGTGTATCCACATCTTTTGATTATACTCATTTCATAAAATCACCTAATAATGAAAAGTAAAAGATCTTACAATTCCAAAAAATATATAACCGAATATCGATGTTTCTCCACCTCATGTTCGAACCCAAACGAACACAAACAACAAACACATCGCACGATACTATAAGACAGTACATAAAGTAGTGACGCGACGATAGTGCAGAAAAGAAACTAAGGAAAAAGAAACAAAAGTAAATGATCCCATAAATGATAACCATGGCTACGATGATGGAATGTAGAGTTACAGTGGATGTGGTACTTTGATATAATAGTAACAAGTAGCATTAGCGGTAACAATGGTGATAACGGTGATGGTGAACAGTAGCGGGGAACATGTGAAACTTCAAGAAAGATGAAAAGTAAAAAAAAGAAGATGTACGGGTAGGCTTTGTAAATGAAATGAAGTTGTAAACAGCGAAAATGTTTATTGCAAAATATATAAATATGTACATTGGTGTCCACGTTGAGCCGATAGCTGAATATTTTCACAATAAAACGAACGTGTATCTACTTCTACTCTCTCTCGCACTCTCTTTCTCCCTCTCTTACTCTCGGTCACATCCAAGCTGTATACTAACTAGTTCTGCCAAAATATACCGAATGGACCTTTCTACGATAGATCGCACAAAATTACTGGATAAAATACATTTCATTCGTCAATGAAGTTGAAGTCGAAGAATTTCGTGCGATCTATGACACTCACAGACTCCGACAAAATAGTCTGATTGCTCTCGCCTGTTTCGTAAAATAGAGGAAACCTCTTGAATCACGAGCCAACTACTCTGTATACTACTTAGGAACACGTGAAACACGATAGTCTTACAAAAACTTTGGCACGTTGACAAATACGCTATCGGTGAAAAATTTCAGACCACTGTCGACGCCTCTGGCGACTCCGATAAATCGTGATAATTTCAAATTGTGTTATTTCAATTGTTCTTTCGACTACAGATATTTTGTACAACACTAAAATTTTAGTAGAACAATGTCTACATTAAATGACACAAAAATTATCAAAGTTAATATCAGCAAAAATTTCTAAGACCCCAATGCAAATACAGTTCATTTCGGTCAAAAGAGCTTCATCATTTTTTACCAAACGACCTAATAGAACTGTCATTTGTATAATTAAGTGATCTGATAGTTTTGACCCATACTGTATATGTATTATATTTATTATTAAGGAACTTCGATAATCCGATTAAAAATCGATATGGCAAAATTGTGTGCTCAGGGACGGTCACGATTGTTACGAGCAAAATACGTGTACACATGGAACTGCATTTACAATAATTGTTCGCGAAAACCTTACACCTATTATGAATACTCTTAATGCATGATTCAGTTTGAACTACCTGCGTGCTTTACTTTCGTATGCATCGATGTGCGTTAGCAGAAGTCGTTTGGATGCATAAAATACTCAGCTACGTATGTGGACACCAGTGGACTGGTCATTTTGTGCTCGTTAATGGGAACAATGGATATACTAATCTCAAGATATCGTGAAATGAATGATTTCGAATGATAAAGAAATGCAACTAATATCAAACCAAATAAACGATGTTATAAAATGAAATAAAAAAGTATAAAATACGTGTGCCGTGTTAGCAATTAGTTACACCAATACAAAACCCAAAAGTGACCAAATGACATTCAGAACCCAGGATATTTTATCTATGCGTTGATTATAATTATGGAAATCTGTAGATATCCGAAAAGAAGACATTTCCAGTTAATTATTTAGCCTTTAACCACTTGCCTTATAACTGTGTTCGAGTACAAGATAAATATCTTTAGAACTATTGAATTTTAACTCGTTTTGAATTCACATAAAATTATGAGACAGACGTTTACAAGATTACAGCTTTAGAATTGCTAACAAAGTTATATGACAAGGGGTTAAAATTCAAAACAGAATTTAGTAAAGTTACATCGGTAGAAAAAAGTTTTCGGATATCCACAAAGGATTTCATCGCATTCTCTGCAGTCACTTAATTACCTTAAGTCACTATCACGATTATTAGAATCTTTCTGGACGGCTAAATTTGTCTGTTGATAAATCGTGTGAAGGATAAGACCAGGTTCGATTTCGCTTCGAACATCGTTTAAAATGAAAATAAACGAATGATATGCCTAATCGGAATTTCGGTCGATCTCGATAAATGCATCAAAATTCTAGATTTACATAATCGAACGATCCGCTTATAATATTTCTGTTTGATCATGCATCGCGTATCAATGAAACAACTTCACTGAATCGATCAAATGTATCGGAAACGTTCAGTGATATGACTATAACAAGAAAGCTAAAAAATATATGTACGTTGCTCTAGCTTATAGCTTACGGCTCTATATAAAGTGGAATCTTAATATCGTTACGTAGCTACTTAATTATAAATGGCAGAATCATGCGCGTAATTATATAAGTACCGTACTTTTTTTGAGCATTTCTTTTTACCCTTGCGACTGAATATTTCCAAACTCTCGTCCACCCCCATTATTCCTATACGTTTAAAATATGTCTCAAATATTTCCTTTTTTCTTTTCTCGTAAAAGGTACTATGCGATAACATTGCATCGTATAATAATATATATAGTTGAATCACAGTAATTGATGCTATTACTATAAACAGAAATAATGTGATTAATCACGAATCATCTAGCGAATAAAAATACTTGTCGTTATAATACTACTCTACTTAAAGCCTATCAATTTTCTTGTACTTTATGCTTATACGAGATATTCATGTATCGATTGGCAAATACTAGACGAGACCGTCAGTCGCGATTATTTAACTCAACAAAAGAGAACACTTTAAATAACTCGTTGAAAAATCGCTTACAAATTAGGAATGAGCCTTGCTCAGTGTTAACATTGAGGTCAAATTTGTTAGAAGAGGCTGATTAGGATGGTACTTACGTGACGGTATCTTCTTGAATACTGTCTTAGCCATGAAATCTTGAAAACGCTGCGCGTAAAAACCTGGCCGATGCACTGATACAGTGTCCTGTTAACACATCAAACCATTCCTTGCTTTCAATTAAACAAAATTTCAAAATTTATTCGCTTCCAAAAATAATCAGTTCAAAAGAAATGAGTCACGAACCTTGACCATTTTAGAAAACAAAACGTGAGTCATAAATTCATGAAACTTAAACTTTAAATTACCATTTAAACTTTAGGAAATGAAATGTTACAAAATCAAAAGTAAATTATCTCAATGAGATCCATCAAATAATAATAAATCCATAGATCAACTGTGTTAAATTTTTTAATGTTGAACAACGTCGATCAAGTAAAAAATGTGATAATACTACTTACACCATCGTGTATCATTGATTTCCAAGTGTGCTCGAGTTTTTTCTTGAGCCTGTAACTTTGCAAAATGTCAATGATACCAAGGAAGAGTAACAGGCGTTCACCGCGAGCGTTGCGAGCAGGAATGCCACCTGGACTGCTAGGAATACGAATGCAATTAAAATACGTCGTTGAAGCATTCGTTAGGCACACAATAGTCCGTGTAAAAGAATCAAAACACGATACTCACGGTACATCGTCCTCCTCGTCTATCGGCTCGCTTTCAGCCTGAATACTCTCCATAGCGGTACTGTGCGCGACCAACCTTTGTCGGTTTATGCTTCGTGATCGATTCAAAGCACTGGCTCCTATTCTGTCGTCCCTTTCCCGCTCTCTTTCAGCCTGAGTGAATCCTGCACTCTCACCTCCAACTTCGCCAACTTCTTCTTCCGCGCTCGCTGATAATCTCTGTTCCTGCTGCAACGTAAACATTACAAAGTGTCCTTGTACTTTATGTTACAGAAGGGAAACATGTGTGCGTATGATATATCGGGATCTGTGCTACAGTTTTAGATGCATTCTTCAATTACTATATGAACCTTACATTTTTTAATTTGTATGACACAAAATATCTATGTCCTCAAATCCTATATCACTTAATTCTTTTATCTTCAAATCTGTGCCTCCAGTACTACATTTATATACCCTAAATTTCCATAACTCTTACGAGATCTCTACTATTACGCTATTTCCCTAGAATCCCTTTCCATACCTTTACATCCTAGACCCGTTATACTCTTGTACTTGCAAATCTCTAAATCCCCAGATCTCTTTTATGCGCACACTCTTAGATCCCTAAATCTCCCTCATATATCCTTACATACTTACCGCTTTATCTCTCGCAGCCTGATCAAGGTTGTGAATACCAACGAGTAACGAGTAGTCCATAATCTTGAAACTTTCCAGTACGCGACAATCTCTTTGTATGGTTTTCACTAACGCGTTATACGTGTCCGCTTCCAAAAAGATCCCTTCCGGATGGTGTTCCATGAAATCCAAATCTTTGTACGTCGGAGACGACTTGGACCGTTCTGACTTCGATGCCTGTCGAAAATATATTTTATGAAAACTGTTGGTGCATAGTGTTCCAGGTGTTTGTATAGTTATGTACCTTTCTTTTATACGTCGATCCTTTTAAATCGTACTTTTGATGGAGTTTCACCGACGACGGCAGGAGATTATTCATAGCGACTAATCTAACATTTTTACTATTACACCGATAGCAATATAACCCGAAGAACTTTGGCAATAACGTCCTTGGATTTTGATTTAAATTCTAGGAAACAAAGAATTGATTCGTGTATTATGTTACATAACGATGCGTTGAATACGGTTGAATGGTTTAGCCTACCATATAATATCCTGGAAGAAGCGTCTGCAAAAATTCTCCTTCTTTGTGTTGCACAGTCTTTATGATAAACTCATCATCATCTGTTAGGTAAAAGATACTTCCACTAGCGCCGGGGTTCGATAATTCGCGTAACGGAGCACTACACATCGACATCTGGACATTGAAACGGTGTCATTAGGTACGAAAGCATTAAAAATAGATTATTATGAGGGAAATCATTCGTGTCCTTCTAGCGAAACGATCGCGGCTCCGTGTACTCACTAAAAAGTCGTCTGGTTGAATGCCAAAGAGATCTCGGAAGTAACGAAATGCAATGGGTGCGTAATTTTTGAACTTAAACTCGGAGAAATGATGAGCAGGAGTGTGATTGGATCCCTCGCTCGGAAAATTCGTCGTCTCTACGGTCATGAAGTCTTGCATCAACAAGTCACGCTCGGGTTTACTCGCTAAACCACCGACTGCATGCTGTATGCCCAATTGTATGGATCCCATGATTTGTGTCGTTTGGATCTGAACAATAAACGATACAATAAATTATAGTTTACAACATACATCTTTTACAAAATAAATCTTTTATTTTATACACGTAATTTTCACCTTCTACGTGTAGTTATAAATAAATTGAACGTGCAAAACATCAATAACCTTTTGTCATTTTATGCTTCACCTTTTTGTACGTGATTTCACCTCCCACTCCAACTCTCCTGTGTCCAATCTTTCTCTCTCGTTCTGACTTGTTCCTCGATACCCCCGCAGGGGTTTTCGGTCCACCGATGCCATGTTGTATTGCTGAACCCTATAAAAGACATCATTCTATTACCTTAATGATTTAAGTACAGTTTCCGCTAAGAATCCGACTGAGATTTTTCAGGCTTCTGGCGTTAACTATCAAGGACGCGATACTGCGCGAACATTCCTAGAACTGTATCTTCAGATTTCTATGTATCTATATTCCTAAATTCTTAGATAATCCTAGATTTCTTACATACATTCCCATTACAGATATTCCTATATCTCTACATTCTAAATTTCTGTGCACTCCTCAATAACTAAACTATCTATAGCGTTCTTCTATCTACATCCTTAGATATTTAGTTCATAGATGATTGTGACAAATAGCTAAATTTGACAATACTAATCCTGAAGCCTTAAACGTCCAATAACTAATAAGTTAAAAATTGTTACGTAGAAACGGAAGAGATTAAACTGGAATCTTCGCTATGCAAAGTTTACCAAATTTCAATCTCTTCCGTGATCCGACACCGTTCCGATCCTCACCAGCGCAAACACGAGAAATGCACCAAAAGAACATACGGCTGTGCGTCATTCGGATGAATAATTACACAACTATTCTTGTCTCAAACGTCGAGAGCGATGCATCTCGTTGCACGGAGTATGTTGTCTACAATTGCCAGCCAACAATGCAGCGAATCGTTCCCGCGCGTTTTTTCCCAGAAACTCTTGTCTGTAGCGATAAGACGATCGACTAATCGATGAATAGCGTAATCTCGATCTCCGTCATACGGACGTAAATAATAGATAAAATAACGAGTAAATAGAAATGATTACGTTAATAACCGCTTAAGTTAATTTCATTCGAACGGAAGAGGACCTCGGAAGGGAATCGATACCGTATGCCCTCTATCGACTCGGACTGCGATCGGAGATAGTACGGTAAATCGACGCGTCATCGATTTTCTTTTAATTCGTATCGATATTTTTAAGAATTCCATGCTACTCATCGTTTAGTTTCGATGTTATCTTTTTAATAGGATTTTAATTGGTAAATCTTTCCCAAACGCATTTGGTCGTAGATCTCGGACGCGATAAATCCGACGGCAAAGTCTAATGCATTCGCGCACCGCATTAATAATAAGGATGATCTTTTATGTAACGTTCGATTAAGCCTGAAGCACGGATTCGAGCGTGCAAATTTTTTCCAACGATCTACAATGTAACTCGCGCTGTACGTCAATATTAATATGTAGACGCATAAAACAATTTTCTTGTACACACAATAAAACACGCAAGGAATTTCTTTTTACTTACGTCAAACGCTGTCACCTTATCCCCTGTAGATTTATCTGTAACATATCGGAAAGAACGTATTTGTTACATGAAATAAGGTCACGTAACAGTCGGCTCGCACACAACCTTAACGAATAAACGAAAGTCCCGCTAGGTGAATTTAACGATAAAACGGTCGAGAAAAAAATCGCATACCGATTCGATGCACATTCTGCGAAAGAAATGAGAAAGTGGAACGTTAACCGAGTTCAAAAACGAAAGTTCTGCACACGCTGATTGCAATGGACTCGCTATTGACACATGTAAGTCCCGGTACCGTTACGCGTTAACTGTAGTAAAAGCTTCAGCCCTTGCACGAGGCTTTACTTCATTCAATTCTACGCGTAAACTTTCACTCGCCACGTTAAAAATCCTCAAGGTTCATTCATGTTCTCACTTATTTTCGTGACAGTTAATTCACGGAGGGAAAATAAAATCTGTTCAATGCGGTTCAGGAATGCAGAAAAATCTTGTATCAGGCTTAGGTATTTCGATATACGTCGGAAGAGTATTATCAAATAAAAATGATAGCGAAAGATGTACTGATACGAGTCATTACATAAAACTGCTATTTCTTATTTTATTCTGAATGAGAGTCACTCTGAAATTTCCTTTTTTTAGTAGGTATTTAAAGGAAAAGTCATTACGGTCATGAATATTCGCAGGGTGGTTGAAATAAATTTAGTTAGCATGTTCCCCACATGTTCCCCTGCACGTCTTATAGAAAGGCTCCGTTGGCCCGGAGTGTACCCAAGCCCGATACAAAGGGGCGACACCCATCAGCTGTCAAATCGCGAAGTGGATTAACGGAGTATCTGCGAACGGGCGTCCACTTGGTTATGCGATTCCCGAGCTAATCGACGTCGGAGCATAACGCGGGCATGCGGAAGCGAACGAGGAACGCGATCGGCTACAATCGATCGATCACGCCTATCTCCGTCACTCGAATCGCGAGAAATCGAGTAGCCAGTTGAATCGCGTTGGTTTTATAGGTTATGTTGCTGACACCTCGAGTGGAGGGTCTCGGAGGAATAAAGGAGTACTCACTGTCCTCATCCGTGGCCTGTTCCGGCCTGAGGTGATCCTCGGTGGCCTGTGCCGGGCCCGTGAAGCTTGTCTCGACCACCTCGATCACGTCCACATTGTCGCCCGAAGCCATTTTGTACGTGTGCGTGCCTTCTTTCGATCCAACGGGTACACTGACTCACGTACGACGACCACGACGACGATCTTCCTGACAGTTTCGCGAACGCGCCTCCTTTGTCGTCGCTTTGCACGCCAGCATCTTTCGAGTTCGAGAAACACGGCACGCACTCTCAGGGCGACGCGTACGTAACGCGCACTCCCTCGCGGAACATTTTCCCTTTCGGCACACGCGAGTTTCACGGATTTTCCTGCGATTCAGGAGAGGAAAATGGAACTTCGATTCTATGTACACGGCCTCAAAGGCTCTCCAGCTCCGGGCTGAGAACACCCACGAACCTCGAGAGCGCCTCCGGCCTCCCTGCTATTCGTCTATTGACCGGACGCCATCTTGCCCTCGATTTCATCGCCACCTCCCGGCCACGGTCTTCAACTACGTACAGACGCGCCTTCCTTGTAATCGCGTTTTATTTTAACGCGTTCTTACGCACTGTACAACATTTCGATATCGTTGCACAAGTCGATGAACGAGAACTATGACTAACAATTATAGTTCAATCATTTCCCCGGAACAATTAGATGTTTATTGTTGTTCGAAGAAGATTTACCTACTGTTGATCTGCAGAGTCGGGCTACGCTCTTCTACCGGAAGAGCATGAACATGACTCGATGACCGTATCCGGCTTGAAATAGATATTGTATCATAAAACCAGATAAAAACAAATGTTGGAAAGCAATGACGAAATGCAATGTTATGCACATACGCCTGCGTGGCTTCTTTATCAATGAACATATGCATACGCTCTCAGAACTTTTGCACTTATGTTTATATTGGCAAACTTGTAATTAGCTGTTAAAAATATCTATCTGCTAATAATTCTAATAAGACAATCCGCAGCATTAAGCTGACTATAGTTAACTATATTTATGCTTGAACGTTGTTTACCAGGCGAAGTGTAAATACAAGTGCAATCCTTCAATCACTTTTGTTCTTGAAATTAGCATTAGAATGCACAACCGATATAGACATGTCTGTGATACCGTACAGTAATGCATGTCACGTGTTTCTTTTAAAACTGAACGTAGTAACAGATATTATTCATGAGGTCGATAATTTGGAAGATGAAGGAAGCGTTTTTGAAGCTCGTTTAATTAATGCGATTTTAATTAACGCTACGTTATTCGTAGCAATGCGGGTCAAAGTAAGACGCCAGTTCTATAAAAATATTTCATTAAAATTTTCGTTATGAATTTTCTTATATTCCAGTTGTATCATGGTTAAATTCAGGTGGTCGTTCAACAAAATTCAAGTACAACGAGCAATTTTATTAAGCATCATCGGTCTAATTTCGTACGGAATATTCAGAGGACACTTGAAGTATGAACAAGAGGTTACTATTTTCCCCATTCCCAATCGGAATTGCCTTTCACCAATTAAAGCAGTACGAGCGAATCCTTTGAGCCCGTAACAAATCTACCACCGCAAATGAATAATTATTCCAGTTTGCGAAAAACGCATACCGAACAGAGCAGTCGGTATAAACGTGCAGATATAACGCGGTTATGAATCATCGTTCGATTTAATTGTTGGCAAGCCGCGCAATCCGAGTGACTGGTTCTAACACCGCGTGTCATTAATTCATCGCGTCGACTCCGTTCATTAGAGAACACATTGATAGTGTAAAGTGTTTCGTATAAAAGGTTTCGCTTAATGCTTTCGCGGTCGAACGGTCGAGATTTATAGCGGTCAATGTACAATTAATTATCATTCTGTTCGATGAAATCTCTGGGACTACTACCGAGCCACTACTTTGCTCGTTCCACGTGCAAATCGTGTAAAATCTAACGCCCCACCACTAGGAGATGCAACGCTGATCCGTGTTCAGATATCGGATGTTTATATCACGCGATGCGTTAGGTTAGGTATTCACGATTTATATTTCCTTTTCGCTCCATCGATGAGTAAAATTTTATTATGCAGGAAATGGGATGCATTTTTGGAATCGGTAATGTGGGATGAGTGGATGGAGGATTCGCTGATGTTAAACTCATTTATGAAGATTTCAAGTTTTGGGGATTTTGGGGTTCTAGGAATTTAGGATTTTGGGATTTTAGGGGTAGAAGAATTTAGGGTTTGGGGATTGAAAATTTCAGAACTCGAAACTTGTGACTCGCCAATTTTGGACTTTGACGATTTAGGACCTTGCGAATTTAGGACTTTGACAATTTCGGTCCTTGTCCATTTTGGACTTTGTTAATTTAGGACCTTGACAATTTAGGACTTTGATAATTTAGGAGCTTGTCAGTTTAAGACCTTGAAAATTTAGGACATTGCCCATTTTGGACTTTGACAATTTCGAACCTTGCACATTTTGGACTTTGACAATTTAGGACCTTGCTCATTTTAGACTTTGATAATTTAGGACCTAGATAATTTAGGACCTTGTCAGTTTAAGACCTTGGTAATTTCAGACTTTCACAATTTAGGACATTGCCCATTTTGGACTTTGACAATTTAGGACCTTGCACATTTTAGACCTTGACAATTTAGAACTTTGTCAATTTAGGACCTTGATAATTGAGCACCTTGTCCTTGACAATTTAGGACATTGTCCGTTTAAGACCTTGATAATTTTGGACCTTGACAATTTAGAACTTTGCTCACTTTAGACCTTGTCAATTTAGAACCTTGTCAATTAAGAACCTTGATAATTCAGGACCTTGTTAGTTTAAAACCAAGATCATTTCAGACCTTGACAATTTAGGACCTTGCCCACTTTGGACCTTGTCAATTTAGGACCTTGCTCATTTTAGACTTTGATAATTTAGGACCTTATCAATTTAGGACCTTGATAATTTAACACCTTGCCGATTTAGAACCTTGACAATTTCTGACATTGATAATTTACGATCTTAAAATGTGCCAATTTAATCCTTTGCGTTCGAGAGGCTCCTCGCAGGCACCATTCAATTTGAAATAAGCATTATTTAATTAATTCTATAATACTGCTCGCGTGATGTATAAACATTGTGAAATAGATAATAGTAGAAATTTTTAGTAGAGAAATAATAATCTCAAAAAAACTCATTTAACATTGTAATTAATATTTTGAAGTTGCTGTTTGTAATAAAATTATCTTCAAGTGCAAAGGGTTAAAATCGAAAAGTCTAAAAATAAAAATTACAAACATGAATGCAAGGTATCACCGTGTCCTTGCGTACAGCGATACAACGTAGAGATATAACGCGGCATTATCTGTTGGTTTTAAACAAAACCCAATGTCGTATGATCAGCTTACTAGCATCGATTAATTCCCAGTTCAAGGCTGCATATTTGCAATGTCCACTGCAAGGTCGTTATCAATCGTATCGATTGGTGTCCCAGATTTTTGCCCAGTTATTCGAGTTGCGATAAAACCGAATATCGGATGGATTTTCTGACTATATTAATCGTCCTTTACCGCTATGAATCCCGCTAAACGGAAAGCATCGTAAAAGATCGAAATTAAACGCGTGCAATGTTGAATAGAACAGAGACCATTTCTTACTGGCGGCTAAATGGTAAGTATGCGAATTAAACCGAGGAACACGATAATGTTAAGAAAAAGCAAATAGAAGAAAAGGGAATAAAGGAGGGAATGAGCGTGGAGAACGTTTCCTGTCCTCGTTCGTACGTGTTCCTGTCCGTTCCTCGCATTAGATCCTGCGCATCTAACAAATGAGCCGTTTTATCAGAATACTATTTTGTAGGATTTCGACGATTCTTGTTTCCCACCGACCCAACCCAGATTTAATAACGTAAATGCTAGGCATTTAGGAGATCGTTAATGTCTCCTAAACTACGACTTTTTAGATTAAACTATGGCTATTATTTTTTCGACACTCTATCGACATGATTATTGCTTTTGGATGCTTAATCAAGTGGCCTTAATTGGTCCGATAAAAGGATTATCGCTTCGTACGGGAATCGTTAAGGGGTGGCCTTAAAAGCAGGCCAATTGTCACGCAACGCCGCCTCCCAGTGTCTTAAAAACAGGAAACTTTAATTACTCCGGTGAAACGAGCCTCGCGTTCTTGCGATACCGAACGGCCTAACCTTGTAACTCTTTTCCCTCTTTCTCGCCGAAGGTGGCTGAATACATGCGCTCGCTGGAATATCGACGAGCGAAGGAGGCCAGCCAAGATCACAGCGTCATGAAGAGGAACCACCTAGCCTCGATCAACGACGCATCTAAACAAGATAAAAAATGAAACAATATCAACATGTTTTTACTTCTTACTTCTTATAATAGAATTCGTTACTATCGTTTTAACAAGAATTTACGAACTTGCACTGTGATTGTAAAATCTAACACTGTACATGATAAATAAAAATATACAAGTTTATATATACTGTAACTCGAGTACCATGATTTAGTTGAGTTGATTAAAACATCACTGTGCATGATAAATAAAAATATACAAGTCTCTGTATACTGCAAATAGAGTACTTATGATAGGAATCCTTACTGAACTCGTTTTAGTAAGAATTTTATGAATTTGCAAACTGCACTGCGATTTTAAAATCCAATATGATAAATAAAAATATACAATTTCCATAAATACTGTAACTCGAGTACCATGATTTAGGTGAGTTGATTAATACATCACTGTACATGATAAATAAAAATATACAAGTCTATGTACACTGTAAATACAGTACTTATGATAGGATTCTTCACTAAATTCGTTTAAATAAGAATTTTATAAATTTGCAAACTGCACTGCGATTTTAAAATCCAATATCATAAGTAAAAATATACAATGTTCATAAATACTGTAACTCGTGTACCGTAACTTAGTTGAGTTAATTAATCCATCAGTGTGCACTATAAATAAAAATATGCAAGCCCATATAATACTATAAATTGAATACCATGATTCGATTCTCGCTAAACTTATTAAAAGTGAATCAGTAATGAAATGCTGAAATCCTAAGAAAATTTCCAAAAATGTAAGATAACAATGCTATAATAGATTGCATAAAATGTGCGACCGTCAAAGAGTTAATACCGAGAGATTTACGATCGGTTTACTTAACGATTGTTTGCGAGACGTTGACGAGAAAATTGATCTCTTCGTTCGAGTGTGTGATCCGCCGGATTTTTCTGTTTGAGCGAGATACTGCAAGATACCGAATTTTGGTAGCAGAAAGAATTCCTTGTGTTTTTTGCCTGCAGTGATTCCGACGAAAACAATAGTTTCGCAGGAACTTCGATCAGTTTCAACGAGTATCCATCAGATATCGTAAGGTCAGGGTGGACATGATATTTCCTGTATCGGGTAACAAAGGAACAAAGCCGATGTCAAAGCACGCGAAGCGTGTAAATTGAGAGAAATGGACAAGATTTGTTGATCGTTGATTGCATCAACTTTTTACATCACCGAAAATCAAACTAAACTTAAACTTTGTTTAACCAAACTTTTGTTGAACCTCGTTTTGTTCGTACATCAATCAGTTCATCGGAAGGAATTAGATAATCAAGAAAATGAGAAATAAAAATGTTCGACATAGATTTGATATTATGTAATTAAGTTTTTGAAGTCCAAGGGTTCAATGCTCCAGATTAACGCGATAAAGTGTCTAGATAAAGATGAAAGTTACTTCTCGATCTAATTTCGAAGTGAATGAGATCAATAGCTCCGATGGTTGCGTTACCGTTTCCGTTCCGAGCAACGGGAACTTATCTGGACTGACGCGCGCAGTTGCGTGTACATTTATTGCCTTACGATACATATGTACGCCTATAATTTATGACACCACCGGTTAGCGTACCAGTGACTCCTAAGAATATTTCGCAAAGAAATCTTGATAAGCGAGATAGAGGTCGTCGAAATCATCGTTTTTTTCGAGGTTGCAGAGAAAGTGCGTGCGATTACAACAATCACGGAAACTTTCGATCACATGATGAAACATCAGCAAATTCCACATGACTGTATTCTACAGAATTAAGGGATGGACAGATTTAAATTTAACCCTCAGAGCTAACAGAGCTACGATATGTGCAATTTTTTTTAAATTAATAACATTTCTTCTCTACTTAGTATTTACCAAAATAAATTAAGCAAAAATTGCCACGAAAGTTGACATTAACAACAGAAAAAACAGTAGAAGATATAATTAATTCTTGCATATATATGCACCTGTTTTATCTGACAGAAACTTGGATGTTGTCTTTCCTTGGATGACTTATTTGACAAATAAGGAAGTTAAAAAACAGATTAAGCTTGTTATATCTGTCTTTGGAGATTCTAACAAAACGATTAGCATCTTTCGATTGATCGTTTCAAGATAATGTGTGTGCGATAGCGCGTTGGTAGTGGTTGTCGGTTTACATAAGAGATAAATCTGTTGTGAACAATCAGCGCCTGAACGTAGGCAATGGGGGGGCGCGATGAAAAACGAAACGGGTTTCGTCAGTTTGGTTAATTAAATCATTTTTGATCACGCGTCGCTAGTTCATCTCGACGATATCTCGAATACTGAACGTACTCGATGTTCAACCGGAGGAAACTGAAAGTGATCTATCATCGTTTATATTATCAAGGTTACCGAAATTCGGAGAATGCCGCATAATCACAGAATTAGTGTAATTAGCGTATCAGACAAAGATACGAACGATGACTCGAACGATTTCAGTGAGTATTATTTTTTTATCGCCTGCCATCGCTTCGGTTAGAAATTTCTTTATCATAGGCTTCATTCAAAGACATCATAGACCTCAGTCTATCATTTTTCTAAAAATTGATAGGTTACGTTAAAAGACAGATTATGAAGGTGAAGGTCATTTGAAGGTCCTTTCAGATTTCACAAGAGTCTTTGTTCTCCCTACTTGTTTATGCAGACTGATTCATACCATAATAAAAGAAGTAGTAGAGTATAAACGTATTATATTTTTGAAAGAATGAGGAACTTTCCTATTTTTTTGTAGAATCATAAATGAAGTCCGACTTCCAAAATATGAGTCATTAAAAGAAAACTTTATTATTTAAATAAATATTATTATTTGATATAATAGACAAGGTTGCAAAGAAGAAGCCAGCAGACTTCGAGACAGCGTTAGCAGCTGCTGGTTGTGGAAAGTTTCAGTATCTTCTTCTTCTGACGATTATCCCTGTATCATGGTCCAACAGCATTGATACCGTCAGCGTGGCCCTCATTCTTCCCTCTGCAGAATGCGATCTGCAGATGACAATGTTTCAGAAAGGCATCTTAAATGCTGTCATTTTCGTGGGTACGTTAACAATTCCGTTGTTACTATATCTCTTCAAAAATTTCCCTTTTTGCACCAATATTTGGATCTATAATTTATTAGTCATTTAATGCATTTATCAGTTCAAATGTCAACCCAAATCTTTCAGGAATGGTTTCCAGCGGGTTTCTATGGGGTTACATAGCCGACGTCAAAGGAAGAAAGGTAGTCTTCATGTACGGCTACCTGGCTGACGGTATTTGTAACATTCTGTGTGGCTTATCACAGAACTTTTGGACGCTAGCCTTCTTCAAGCTCCTCAGCGGCTTCATGTCAGTGTGATTTCATAAAAATGATGATGAGATTTTGTAGAAAGATCTTCGTTATTTCTTCATGACAGATCTTTCAATCTTGACAAGATTAATTTTAATTCTTCCTTGTATTCGGAAACCTTGCAGTATAAGCGGTCCACACGCATCGATTTTAACGTACTGCTCCGAGTTCTACGGAATCAAGGAACGAGTCAGAATTCCGCTCATCGTCGGATTTTCCATCATGTTCGGAAACGCCGTGGCAGCAGGTAAAACCGCTCAATAAATTTCCACGAAATATTTATGTATAGTAATTTTCAGCTTTTGCGTGGATCGTTATTCCTCAACGTTGGTCCATCGTCCTCTGGGACGGTCTTTTCGTCTACAATTCTTGGAGACTCTTCCTGTCTCTGTGCGGCGTGCCAACTCTGTTTGGCCTCATTTGTCTGTCCTTATTCCCGGAGAGTCCGAAGTTCTTGATGACACAGGGTCGCACGGAAGAAGCGTTGCAAGTTTTTCGCAAGATTTATAGGATTAATCATGGCAGATCTGCTGATGAATTTCCGGTGAGGATTCTAAACAAAGTTTGCTTTTCAATTTAATTTCAGGTTAAATTTTATGAAGTTATTTTTCTCCGTTCTTCAAGATACAAGACTTGGAGAACGAAAGTTTGACAAAGTCGTCGAACGACGAAGACAGGGATGGCAAGTTCAAAAAGAGAATGCTATTTCGGTATCCATATTTGCTGCGACTTCTTTCCGTCATGACCATGCAATTTGGATCACTGTGGCTGTAAGTGTTGTTTAGGAAGTAGGCTTCATTCAAATATCGTTAGGATAATTACTAGCCGGACGACATTAAAAAGCAATTAACATAGAACTGATTTGACGTGTCCTCTATTTTTAACGCAGGAAAACAGTGTCATAAATAGAAGATTACATATAATTCTCCTTTGTAGAACAAATACTTTCCGACTGTGGCAACCTCAGCTTTTCGCGACGTTAGAGAATTTTAACTCTCTCGGTCACAATGCGACGCAAGATCCCACATTCTGCGAAATAATGGATTTTTCGACTGCGGTAGACGCTTCGGAAGCCATCGTGGATAGAACGCACTGTGTAGACGTAAGGACACTGAATTTATAACTCTTTCAATTCGTTTAACACGTTATTTATGTTGTAGACTGTTGTCGACGAGTCGATTTACATAAATACTGCTATCTCCTCCATCTTTGGATGCATATGTCTGCTGGTGGCGAGTTTCATGTTAAAAATACTGAACCACAAAATTGTATTATGTGAGTTGGATAATTTTATTTAGGATTGTTAATTTATCTATTTGATTACATATGTATACCTACATATGAATACATACGTATACTTACATGTATAATACAGATAAGTGCTTATCATGTAAGCACACGTAATTTATTTACATGTCAAACTATTGCAGATGTCTGTTATGGAATATCGTTCTGCTGCATAGCATTTTTGTATTGGTCACCCAGCACATTGTTAACGTTGATCCTCACGGCAATGACTGTCGGATTTACAAACACCACCTTGAGCACCATCGTTGGTGCCACAGTAATCCTCTTCCCAACTTCGTTAAGGTCAGATGGACTCGAAACATTTATCAAAACATACTAAAGAGTACTAAATGGTACTAAGGATCTGTTTAAAACAGGGCGACAGCAGTCAGCCTGGTGTTGATGATAGGCAGAATAGGTAGCATCGCAGGAAACATGCTGTTCCCAGTGCTCCTATCCTATGGATGCATAGCACCGATGATACAACTGACATTATTCGACTTACGTAAGTCTCCGAACGTCCGTTATCTCCGATCGAACCTATCACAACCTCTTTTCGTTGCAGTTTGCATAATTTTAACGTGGTTGCTTCCGCTGTCCAAAAAGAAGCCGAAGAAATAAAGGAAGCCCCGATTGCGTGCGAATGCGGTGTTAAAAATGCACGGTCGTAATTAACAGCTATCAGAAGAATAGCAGATTTTCTAGAAACACGCCAAGGTATCGGTCCGGGCGGGGAGGATTCATCGAAGCAAGAAAGCACGCGTTGAAAAAAGGCAACGCAAGAACGGAGTGTGTTACAAAACGCAGAGGCACGGGTGGATACTTCCGGTCGGCCCGGTGTTCACGGTCACATTTTCAAGCGAAGAAGATCGATCACGATCCGAAACGATGATCGAGAGTCGTCGAGGACGCTGTTCTACAGAAACGAGCATATGCATACGGCAAAACAAGATGCACGGGGGCCTTGGGTTTCACTTTCGACACATCCTGGAGAGCCCTCCAGCCTTCACCCACATGCTCGCTCTCCTCGATACCATATATACGCCTCCGTTCGGCTCTTTCGTGTGGACGAGGCTTTATCTGGCGCCCGGAATCTCGACACCTTCGAGGCGGCTACGCTGATCGAGTAATTACGCGTGTCCATAAGAAGCGAGTACGCGTATTACAATGAGAGAAAGTCAAGGCGGTACGATTGCGAATTTCAGAGTGATATATCGATATATTGTTTAGAACACTATTTTGAAATTCTGGAGTCATTTTTGCTAATACCTTGGTGAGGAGTTTTGTGCTAGAAAAGTTGATGTTATATTTATGTTATGAATCCTGTATTTATAGGATATATATTCTCAGGTCCCTAGACCTCGATATTTCTAGCAGATATCTAGAGTACATCTCTGGAATCTTATATCCGTAGTATTACCTAGATCCCTATTGTAATTGTTCTTCAAAGCTGCCGTATAGCGAAAGTCTTCTAACGAAGTCTTGTAACATCGCGAATGCAAAAACCATAGCCGAGGCATTCCGAATGAATTACAGAAGGAAAGTACAGGTGTGAGTCAGAGAAAAACTATGTTGCCTTTCTTCTTCGTTTGTGGTTAATTAGCTTTTCATTGTCACAGTCTTACTAAACATGCTTAACATTTGGATGATGTTAAAACTTATACAATCATCCAAATACAATTATGTAAATTGAAGCATTTACCATTTATTATAATCTACATAATCACATATTTTTTTAATAATGAATCTTGAAGATGTCAATAAAAGAAATACCTAAAACTTGTTACAAGTTACTACACTGTTTTTATTGAAAACATTTAATCGGAACCCTTTCTTCACTGTCGGATGCAAAACAATGGTGTACCTCCGATCGATTCGACACAGGAATCAAGAGATAGGAACGAGGAAGAAATAAAACGGGGAACCCGGGTGTCTTCTCGTGAGAGCGATCTCGTCAGTCAGTTTTCTAATAATTCTTTACGGACACGAAGACGTCGTATCGCGATTTCACGGCCGCTATTCGCTCGATCGTTCTTCCTCGAGAGAAATATAAAACGGACCCCGTGGGTACGGCCGACACCAGTCAGTCACATCGGAATCGCTTCACCCTGATACTGTTACCTTTTTCCACGAAATTCATCAATCATTTCATCTTTCTCAATTATTATACAACCAGCTGCTACAATTTGCACTTTATCAAATTCTTTAGGTGAAATATGGGCGCTTCTTAAAGTGCAGAGGGAATTATTTAGGTCTTCGAGGTTTATTTACGTTCACCTGGGTTTTCTTTAGGGTTTCAAGAATTTTTTACAGCTACAAGATTTACTAGGTGGTCAGAATTACACTAGAATTTTCTTAGGATTCGATTAGGATTTTCTTAAGATCTAGGTAGAGTCTCTTTAGCATCTAGGTCTTAGGATCTACCTATGATCTGTATGTTCCAAGCTACTTTGCTAGGTCCTAGAGTCTCTGCAAGGACTTTCTAGCTTAGTCTAGGTCTTTCTTAGGATCTATAGATTCCTTAAATTTTTTGAGACCTACGTAAGCTCCTCCTAGTCCTAAGGTGCTCCTAGGTTTCATCAAGAGTAGCGTCTCCTTAACATCTAGGTCTTAGGATCTACCTATGATCTGTATGTTCCAAGTTACTTTGCTAAGTCCTAGAGTCTCTGCAAGGACTTTCTAGCTTTTTCTAGGTCTTTCTTAGGATCTAATCCTTAAAATCTTTGAGTCCTACGTAAGCTCCTCCTAGTCCTAAGCTGCTCCTAGGTTTCATTAAGACCTCCTCAAACTAGTTCAGAATTGTCCTACAACAATATCTCCCTCAACTATCTTCCCTAACTTCCACTTATGATGTCCTATTCTACGTCATCCCAAAATCAAAATTAACTGCATAATTCCTACTTCCTTCATAGCTCTAAATTACTCTCAATCGTCACAGTAGACCACCCATAGGCACCTCAATTTGTCGCGTCCCATCACGTCGTTTCAAAGAAACAAATGCAATAAACAGTTTCTCGTGGAAACAGTCCTAACGCTTTAGAACAAGAACTCGAGAATGTCTCCCAAGGAAACGACAGCAAAAGGTGTAAACCGACCGCCCACTGTTCAAACCACCGTTTTTTACTGCCACCTTTACCCTCTAATCTATAATAGCACCGCCACAATGTTCCTATCCAACGAATTTCATTGAAGAGATCTTCGAGACTTCCTTAGAGATAATTAATATCTTTCGACAGTTCCAACAAAATTAAAATCAATATTCACTTTCGTCGCCATTTTCTTATTACTACCTTCGGGAAGAAAAAATGTTCTCAGCGTGTGGTTACTCGAGATACTAAGGGTTAATTAGCATCGGATAGTTTTTCTTATTCGACGAGTTGGTGGTCGAAGTCAGCGGTGATTGCAGACCGCTTGAAATCGATTTCTCAGTGGTCAAAGTGGTTGCACAGAATTAACAGGACGAGTCATTGGTCGTCTCGATGGCTGAACAGTTCAGTAACCGGATATTCTGTACCCTTGAAAATACGCTCCTATGTCCTTAGGTTCCTGGGCCCTTTATCTCTGCATCGTAGAGGACATCTTTATATATATATGTTACCGTGAAAGACCGAAATTGGAGAATGTCGACACAGATTAACTGTCAGATCCATAGATTATATCAGCTGCTTATACTTTGCAGACCTGGGTATATCATGCAAGTACTGTCAACGATTAAAATCTAATAATTCAATCCAATAATCCTCTACGTATCAAATCGTTCATTTTACTTGAAATAACAGAAATAAAAAATTATTAGAATTAAACACAAAATAGAATCAGTCTAATATTGTCTATAAAGTAAAAATGAAAGCGTACTTAGAATAATGTGAACGATTTCAAGTGGCCTCCCTTAAAGTAAAATATAACCCTTAATAATGGCGCTTAAGCTCATCCCGTTTCAGTGGATGATTGACCCATGACCTCACGCAATACGTGCGCTACTTTCCATCATTAATTATGTAATTATTTTCTGAACGGTTTAATCGCGAACGAGATCGAAAATGATCGGCCAAGAGGTTCGAAAGCCGCTCCCGAGCATCCACTTACCCAGATATAACTCGTACGCGGTATGCGCACTCCGATGCATCGCATTACTTTTCATTTATGCACCTACCTATGTAAATGAGAGTATTATCTGGAAGTATCTACCGCTACGTCGGATCCGCTATGCCTATGGAACACCGTGTGACTCTTTGCTCCTTACCGTTCTTGTTCAATTCTTTCCTCCTCGTGTTCCTTTCGAGCGCCACGTTTCCTTGTTCGCCTACCGTTGCTCCCTCGCGATCATGACCTCTTCCTGATCCTTGTCTTTCGTGGTTCCTGCTTGTGCTTTCGTTCCCTGTACACGCTTCTACCATTCGTACCTTCTCACCTCTGTCGACTTTTATTTTCCTACCGGTCGACTTTCTTCGCTCGTAAACGAGTTTGCATCTCGCTGCGTGTTGTTTACGCGCAAACGGAAATCGTGTTGCGATTCTTTTTGCTGAATCGAACTTTATTGGGTTGTTCCACGTTTCCGGGGCGTTACTGCTACAGGAATGCACATTTGGGACAGCAGATTTACCGAGGTCGTTCTATACAATATATAGATTTCACAATTAACTTCAAATTTCACACGTAACCTCAAATTTTATTCATCACAAATTTGGCAATTTTAAGATTGTAAGTTTGTTTATGCAAATTTTTGTTATGTTAAATTTATCCCAAATTTTGCATAGTTCCATATTTCACTTAACCTTAAAATTGGCACAAAGACATCCCCAATTTTGGCTCATCCAAACTTCACTTATGAAGCTTGACTTGTCCTACTTTTTGCTCCAGTTTGATTCGAAACTTATTCCAAAATTTGAGATATCCTAAATCTTCTTCGGTACCCAACGTACCCCAATGACCCAGAAACGCTTCATCCACAACAAAGATCCTTTTCCTTGACCTTAACACTATCCATATATTCAACGTTTATAGGAGATACTCCTAAAAAGAAGCTTGTCAACACTGTTCAAGGATGTCAAGAAAATAAAATAATTCCTGGTACTTATCGCTTCTCCCTCGAACGTAACTTCCGGTGACGAAGCAATCTCCGTGACAGGTCCTCGAAGAGTATAGCTTTGAAATCTTCAGAAAAAGCGACTCTAGTGGAAAAAAAGGAATGTTAATTTTAATAGAATTTGAACTCGATCTCACAGTTTAGTTCAGAACCGCTAATCCTATCGGATTTGCAGTTTTCGATCGAAGAAACTCGTCAGCCGAGCAGATCGATTATAAAGTCGACAACAATGCTGGGAATCGAGATAAGAGATACGAAATAATGCAACATTTTTTCCAGACGATATCGCTTCGTTTGGTACGTCATTTCGCTTCGGTTACGCGTCGTCCATTGTCAGCATCGAATGCTAGAAACACAAAGGAAGCAGCGAACCAACGGACATCGATAGCAAGAGATCAGCTGCTATTCAATGAAAGATATCATTGTCGATGTTAATGCGTCTTTCACTCTTCGATCCGTTGGTATTTCGATGTGGATATCGGACGTAACAAGTTACTCGTTAGCTCTTACGGTTTACTTTCGTACTGTTATCTGTGATAAAGTGCTTGCGGAATTGCATTGTGACTTGTTGCAACAGTTTTTTTAGATAAAGTTGAAACTGTTGGCGGAGATGAATGGACTGAGTTTCTAAGTCTTTAAATTTAGAAGTTTCTGGGTTTGTAGATGTTTGAATCTCTAATTTGCAATTTTTTTAACACTCTACATCTCTGAATCTATAAATTGCGAATTTTAGAACACTCTATGTTTCTGAATTTTTAAATTGAGGATTTTATAACACTCTATGTCTCTGAATCTTTAAATTGAGGATTTTAGAATACTCTATGTCTCTAAATTTTTTTATTGAGGATTTTAGAATACTCTATGTCTCTGAATTTTTAAATTGAGGATTTTAGAACACTCTATGTCTCTGAATTTTTAAATTGAGGATTTTATAACATTCTATGTCTCTGAATTTTTAAGTTGAGGATTTTATAACACTCTGTGTCTCTGAATTTTTAAATTGCGAATTTTAGAATACTCTATGTCTCTGAATTTTTAAATTGAGGATTTTATAACACTCTATGTTTCTGAATTTTTAAATTGAGGATTTTATAACATTCTATGTCTCTGAATTTTTAAGTTGAGGATTTTATAACACTCTGTGTCTCTGAATCTTTAAATTGCGAATTTTAGAATACTCTATGTCTCTGAACTTTTAAATTGAGGATTTTATAACATTCTATGTCTCTGAACTTTTAAATTGAGGATTTTATAACACTCTATATCTCTGAATCTTTAAATTGCGAATTTTTTAACACTATATCTCTGAATCTCTAAATCTTGAAATTTCTGAAGCTCTAAATTCTTACAATTCCAAATCTCTGTATCTTCAAATCTTCAAATCTCCAAAACCCCAAAACCCCAATACCCCAAAACCATAAAATCCCAAATCCACAAATCCACAAATTCCAAATCTTCAAAACCCCAAATCCACAAATTCAGAAATCTCCAAATCTTCCAAACCTCAAAGCCCAAATTTCCAAATCCCCCAAACCTCAAAACCCCAAATCCAGAAGTCCACAAATCTCCAAATCTCTAAGTCTCCAAAACCCCAAATCCACAAATTCAGAAATCTCCAAATCTTCCAAACCTCAAATCTCCTAAACGCCAAATCTCAAAATCCCCCAAAACGCCA